GACAGGCAGGTAGGCAGGCAGACAGACAGAGATGCATACATACATGTTGACATACATGCATGCATAGACCCATATCTACACATACGGGGCTGTAGCAGGTGGCGGGCGTTTGAGGTTTAGTTTAGGGTGTTGGGCCTGTTGGGGCTTTGAGGCTTTGAGCTTTGGGGGCTTTAGGGGTTCAGGGTTAGGGGCTTGCGGGCTTCAGACTTTGAAGGCTTTAAGATCTCCGCTTCGAGTCTATACACCATAACCTTGCATAAGCCCTGAAACCTTCTGGCTGGGTGGAGGGGTCTCTGCTACTAAGCCCTAAATCCTCAACCTCAACAACAACAAAGCTCTTAATCCTCAGCCTTCAACCCCCAAGATACCCTACATACCCCCAGCCACCCTAAACTCTAAACTCCCTAAATCACCTAGGCCGCGAAGCCGAAACCTAAGTGCCCGTTACCTTCACAAACTCCAGGAGCTCCCTAGGCCCTGAAAGAAGCAAGAAGCTCTAAACTCTAAATCCCAATAGAAAACCTTTTAGGGTTTAGGGTTTAGGGTTAAGGGTTTAGATCGCCACCTTTCAACTAACCAGGAAACCATAAGATTTTACCTGCAGAGCCCTGTCTACGGTGCCGGGCTTCTGGACGGCCACATCCTCCATGCGTTGTCGAAGCGGATCCTGCCAGAGAAGGGAGCAACACAGTTTGAATTTGGGCTTGGGGAATTTGGATATGGGATTTCGGGCTTAGGGCTGATAAACCCTAAATCCTAAACCCAACCCAACACCCCTGAACCCTAAACCCTAAACCTTGACAAACCCTAAAACCCTGAGGGTTCAGGGATCTCCCGGGTTGATAAAAAGCTTGAGGTCTTTGAGGGTTTAGGGTTTAGGGTTTAGGGCCATGGGAGTCAACAGGCTACCCGGTCGAGGGGTTCCGGACACAGGACATAAATGGGGTTTCGAGGTTGCAACCAACAAACAGGAAAAGTCTTGAAGCCTGAACCAACCTATACCCCAAAACCCCTCATTCCAGCTGCCCTCTAGATCCTTACTCAAAGGCCCTGAAACCCTCAAAACTTCAGAAGCCTTAAACCCTAAACCCCCCTAAAATTCCTGAATCCCTGAAACTTCTAAAACCTTAGATCCTGATGTAGGGGCCTTAATAATTCGAATAGGGTGTTGGGCGTTTCTCATGATAATTCTAATATACACTCTAATTACCAAGGCCCCTATACCTTGGATCCTAAACCCTAAAACCCGAAAATCCCAAAATCCTACACCTAAACCCTAAACCCAAAACCTCTCAAATCCGAAAATCCCGAACTCCTAAAACCTATAAGCCCTAAATACTAAACCCAAAAACCCCTAAAACCCGAAAAAATCCCGAAATCCTAGACCCCTAAAGCCCGAAAAAATCCCGAACTCCTGACAGCCCCTAAACCCTAAACCCTAAACCCTAAACCCTAAACCCTAAACCCTAAATCCCGAACTCCTAGCAGCCCCCGACCTCGTGCGTCTTTCGAGCAACCAGGCCTTGCCTCAGGCCGAGAAAGTCTTTTGGGGGTTTAGGGCTTTAAGGGTTTAGGGTTTAGGGTTTAGGGTTAAGGGTTTAGGGTTTAGGGTTTAGGGTCTTTGGGTTTAGATCTTTGGGTAGAATAGGGTTTTGGGCTCTGTTATAGCAAATTTATAATCAGGAACCCTAACAATAGAATTGGTAATCATTAAGCTTCTATATTAGTGCTTTAGGGCTTATAGGGCTTTAGGGTGTTAGGGATTTAGGTAGGGTCCTCAATAATTAGAAAGGGTTTTGGGGGTTCCTTAGTATAGTTATAGTATAATTGGTTGCACAACCCTATTCTAGTTATCAAAGCCCCTACATTATAGGGCTTTAGGGCTTTAGGGCTTTCGGGTTTTAGGGGTTTAGGGCTTAGGGCTTCTAGGGCTTTAGGGCTTTTATGTCTTTAGGGTTATAGGGTCTAGGGGTTTGGGTTGTAGGCTTTAGGGCTTTAGGGTTTTAGGGTTTTAGGGTTTAGGGGTTTAGGGCTTTGGGGTTTAGGGGTGTTGGGCTTTAGGGTTTTGGGGTTGAGGCCTTTGGCTTTCGGCGTTTGGGGTTGGGGGTGCCAGTTCTTTGGGCTGTTCGGTGGTGTCGGCTTTCTTCTGGGAGTCTTTAGCTTGCTTTTTAGGGTTATGGTTTAGGGTTTAGGGTTCAGGGTTTAGGGGTTTAGGGGTTTAGGGGTTTAGGGGTTTAGGGGCTTAGGGGTTTGGGGGTTTAGGGGTCTTTAGCTTGCTTTTTTGGGTGTGAAGGTGTTGTGGCTTTAGGATGTTTACGGCTTTCGGGGTTTTAATCTTTTGAAGTTCTGAGTCTTGGGCTTATTCGAGGCCAATATCGGGGCCTTAATAATTAGAGGAGGGTTTTGGGG